GGACTAGACCCTCACTAAGACACAAATATTATTAGACATAAAAAGGAAACTAGAGTTCTACTATGACACAAATACTATTAGATATGAAAAACAAAGTAGACTCCTAATATGCCTAAATTTATAAAATAATATAAAGTATAAAAAAAACTACTTTAAAAAGACCCTGAGAAAATAAATCAGTCAAATCTGAGATCAGACCGGATTCGTTTCTAATCCAAACAAGACTCTAATTTAGTACTAAAAATATCCTAATGGCTGATTATTTCTAAAATTCTTCTAAATATGGGTGATCGTGATGTTTTGGGAATCTGCCAAGCTGTTCAGCTCCGTCTCGTCGAGATAGGCAATTTTCATATATAATATGTTCAATTTTGTTTTCTAGATTGGGAGATATTATCTTTTCCTCGCGGCCAATTTGACAATACATTTGTATCTGAGTTTGACTCGTGACAATCCTACATCTCCATGCATTTGTTCATTATGTCTCCTGTCCTACATCAGAACCTTGAAAGTTTCATTTCCATTCAAATAAACCAGAGCCCAGACAGTGTAATCGCTTTCAAGATCTAGTAGTTTCTATATTGATCTCCCACCTGAAAGAATTCGTGATCAAATGAAATATTTTGACCCTGAGATATTGGATGATGGAATTCTCTAATTCTCGACGGGTGCTACACCTACATTTCTTGACTATCCAAATGATGCATACTCTTCTTTTCAGTGCATGGTGTCTGGGAGTTGAAATCTCTTGTTCTTAAGTTACACTATAATCAAATGAACTTCGTCGATTATCAGTTATTACCAGTAGTACACTGTTACAATTCATGTGGTCAATTGATATGGTGTTTCCTTCACAAAAACTTTCAAAGAGTATAATAGAGGGGCACATCTCATTATGTAAGTTGGTGTGCAAATTGCCTCTACAACAAGAAGCCTAGTAATACAGAGGTTAATTTGCAGAAATAAAAACAACTAAACATGTAAAATTCACTAAAGCAGTTGTAGTTAACAAAGTAATAGGACTATCATGTACTGGAAATTCAATCAATATACAAAGTTGAGCCAGACATAGTAGTTAGGCCTCTTGTTTCCGTAACAACAACAGTTATGGGTTACATCCCACTTGGACGTATGGCCTTTTATTAAGAAAAGAAACGCGTTACTAAAATATTTCACATGATAGAGTCCTCTGATTTCCCTCTATTCCAATAATATTCAGTCTTAACATCATTGTCATCCGTATAATCATTATCATTGCCATACCCCCTTACCCCCCCCCCCGAAAAAAAAAAAAAATCCCTATGGGTGCCTAAGAGCCTGTTTGGATTTGTAGGGGGTGAAGGGAAGTTAAGGGAAACTAGGTGAGAGAATGGAAGGGAAGGGAAGGGAGTTCCCTTCCCCTTGGTTACACCCCAATTTGGGGGTAACAAATTTTATACTATTAGGGGGTGAACCAAGGGGAACTAGGGTGAATAACTTCACCTCCTAAATGTTCCCAAACAAGGTAAATGGAGGTGAATGGTTCCCCTAACTTCCCTTCACCCTTATTCCCCTCAATCCAAACAAGCCCTAAGTGGTTTGTTCATCCTCATCTCTTAATAAACGGGATGAGCACAACACAGTATAAACCTTCTCGTACTCCCAACTGTTATCTAAACCGAATTTATGTGATAGTGTTTTCCGCTTTGATCCAAATCTCAAATGTGTAAAAGAGGTCTCAAATGTTGTTTACTAGTTTTCTTAACATCAGCACACTGATTGCTGTCTTATAATTGATCCTTGCAGCAAACTAACGAGTTGAGGGTTCACACTAATAAACTAGTAGGTTCCTCTGCTTTTTTCTTTTTTGGTTTGTGTGTGTGTGTGTGTAGAACTATTATTTGTAACAATGAGATATGGTAGTTATATTTATGCAATTACAACCAGCCAGGTATAGGGTTAATTATTTAACAGTAACATCCATGAATGTGTTTCATGTCCCCTTGTGTCTTTAAGAGTTTCTTCTCAAGCTAAGGTGATTGGTGGACATCCTGTATAGAAAGTTTGCTGCAATAGCTGCAATACAGCAATCTACCAAGCAAACAGTGGTTATCAAATAAATGACAGTTAATGTTTACCCAACAAACTCTGTCCTATGCTGAATCAAGATAGGAGACTCACTCGTGGCAAAAGTTTTCCTTTAGCTACATCTTTTATGCACATTGTCATCCACAGTAAGTGGGATTCACAAAACATCCATTCAGATGTGTAGGCCACCAAAGTCTATTCTTCCCTATGTCCATAATAATGTCTATGATAGGATTGTATTGGTTCTTTTCAATTGTGTAGTGGGGAATATTCACCTTTTGTATATGCATGCTTGCAATTTACAAGAAAGGCTGTGGATGCTTCCCGTCATTCTCATTAGCTTTTTTATTTTTATTTATTTTGAAAAGGCCATGGCCCAGTTGTGAATCAAGGACCTCCTGTAATCCTACTCCTGACTTAACCGGTGAGCCAGAGATGTAGCTAATTTCAGAAACTTGAACAGTCTACGCCTTTATTATCAAATCAAAAGTTTGCATCATTCCGCAATGCCTTCAGATGTAACACTCCTTAACCATTGGTGTGTTGTCTATTCATAAA